GAGCTTCGACCATTTCGGCGTGACGAAGTACAATATCCCTTTTGCGGCGCCATCGAGGGTGACCGCTCTGATCAGAAGACTGATCAGAACTACGTAAGGGAAACTCGCGAGAAAATAGGAAGCCTTTCCCGAGCTTCTCACGCCCTGGAACGATACCAGGAGCACCGGGAGCCAGCTACCCAACAAGCAGAGCGTCAATCTCCAATCTGGCAGTCCGATTCCATCGTCGATGTTGTCTTTTTCCTGAAGAACTATCTTCCTGGTATCGAACAGTGGGTAAAAATGTTCTCCGGTATAAATAATTAAGTACATTCAAGTATGGAGTCGAAGGGAAGGTAAAGTGTCTCACGTGAAGTAAAGTTCAGCCGAGCTGCTGTAGTGTTCGTCGTCTACCAGCAACCTGAACAAGTTCGTTCCCTGGTGCGTTCCTTCGAGCGCGTCCATACTGTTCGCGCTGGTATTCATCTTTCTGTCGGAGTCCACGCAACGGTCGCCCCATTCTTCTCTGCACTTTGCCCAGGGTAGCTCGGCGGAAAAAGAGGCGACGAGAAAGAACAGCGTCAGAGCCATCAGGTAAGTGTAATACGTCATTAGCGCCACGCACGAACAACACTGGGCCCAACCAATCCCTGAAATAATTTCGTTTGTTATTGTACGATAGTTTCAAGATACACGGGATGGGGAAAAAATGTTGGAGGTCCTTGAAAAAGGTAGCAATCGGGTGGTTCGGGGGCGGCGGAGGGGGGGGGGAGGGGGTTGATTTGAAACAGCGTGTCCTTGGCGAAAATGTCGTCCGAAGCTTCGTTAAGGAGATATTAACAGAAAACAGATTATTTCGGATTAGCCAGTCTGTCGGCATCATGGACGCCGTTTACCTAACTTTTTTATACATGGGTGCCATACGAGCGATAAGTCTCGCGATACGCGTTATATTTTTGCTTGAAAGAATTCAAAGTTACAGTTAAAGGCTGAATAAATATATAGTAAAAATTTGGAAGCTCTGTTGTTAGTAAATTAGAAATAGTTAAATGGTTGAAGCAGGCCATGTGTTTAGTCTCTGCGCGCGCTCTCTCTCTCTCTCTCAACGGAGGTTCGTTCGGTCAGAGGACTTCGTTTAGGAAAAGGTCGGACCGTCGAGGGTGTTCTCGCGGTTGGGATTTTTCTGACGTGTTTCAGACTCGTGGAGTCGAGACGTATCGAAAATATAGCAAATTCACAGTTACACAGAGTCATTATTCGCACGCCCTATAACGCATTCCTGGCATACACGGTCTGATCTTACACTGTGTTCTTTCATTTCGCTATAAAAACAACCGAGAAAACCTTTAAAAAAAAACGGCCGTCACACGGGATGACCCGCTTAATAGAAATAAATACGAAATAAAAGTTGCGAGAATCCATTGCAATGTCTAATTACGAAGGATCCGGATCTTAAAGGTTCGATGAAATCGATTGTAAATTACCAACAAACGCGGGCGACAATCTCCAAGCTTTGATGGACGACGACGAGGAGAACTGTCCCATTATCATCTCTAGATAGTAGAACGGTTTACCAACGAGGAGCAGGACGATGACGTAAGGTATCAGGAACACACCGCCGCCATTTTCGTAAGCGGTGAACGGGAACCTCCAAATGTTACCGAACCCGATGGACATGGCTACGCAGGACAACAGGAACTCTATGCTGTTGTTCCAGCTGCTCGTCGCTTTTACTTCCTCCGTTGATGTCGAGCATCCCGATATCGATTCTCCGGATTCGTTGTCGGAGCGACGACGTCGATCTTTCTCGTCCTCGACGAACGCCGAGTTCCGGTGGCCAGTTTCCACTGCACCGCTCTGCGAATACAAGGCAACATATCAGATTGTCGCGCAGATGAGAACGTAAGTAAAATTGTTTCGGTATCTTCGGTATCTCTCAGCTACGTTTCTACTCGCTCTACGAGTTGATATAGTGGAACGGTTTAACGGTAAGTGGAGTAATTTAGCTGCAAGTGGAGAGGGTTACCGATAAGTGGGCTAAAAGCGAATTTCCGTTTGAAAGATTGCATAAAGATAGCGCGCTATTTCACACTCTCGGTGACCACAATATTAAATAAATTTGAAGAAGGTCGAAAGCAAAGGAACCCTCCGTGCACGTTTGTAAACATTGATTTTATCAACTCCGCCGGTCTCGATACTCGCAGCAATTTCCAGTGTCGTCTTTTCCCAACTGTCAAGGTCACGGTACATCCATCGCGAGACCAAGGGAGGGGAGACGTCTTACGTCCATCGCGTTACTATTTCGCGAAAATTCGTAAGTAACTCTGCTAAAAATTAACTTTAGGAAACTGATGATAAATGCGATATATTTGTTTCAAACTCGTAACTCTCGGATGGCGATTGGCCCCTTTCTTTGTCCTTTAATAGTTCGCGTGGAACAAAGTATATGTGTTACGATGCTTAATAATCATTCTTTCTCTCAGTGTCACTCATTATCAGACGATTTGCATCGTGTGCTACATTCGAGATAGCGAAGCATTAGCTTTAAGCTCTTTATGTTGCCCGGCTCTTATCGCGTGAGTAAAAACTTGCTATCGTCTGTGTTTCCACGAATAAAAAAAAAAAAAAAAAAAAATCAGAGTTGTTCCGCTGTGGTCTTGAAATTAAGGTAATTAAATTTGCCGACTTCGTTTCTCTTCGCTTTTTGGGAAAATTTGTCAATTTTCGCGTAACTGTATCTCTGGAACTAAAAGAGTAATTAAATAAATTCGCGACAGCTTCGAAATTTTGGTATTTCTGTGCAATCCAGCTCGAAGAGTTTCTAACCGATCGCTCTCGAGATCGATAGTTGGTTTCGGAGATTTTTAGGAAGATCTCGTGACAGAAAGACGAAGGAAAAGTCACGTTCCTCGACTCACCATGTCCTCGTGCATCGGATAGTGGAGTGTCGAACGAACCAGTCACGGGATGAAACGTAACGGCGCGGTTTTCGAGGAACGGTTAAATCGACCGCCAAGCTGCGATCGATCGTCGCGTGCATCCGCTTTTATAGAGAAACCGGCGTCGATCCAATCGGTCATCAGACGAACGCACTCGAAAAACTTCGACGATAATGTGACATTAGTTTGCACTGCAACTCTATGCTCCGGTTGATAACAGCGCGCGCAGCCCCGGAACTCGCGTTTATTACCGTTACTGACGTGGTCGCGAGGATCGAAGGAAAACGGCGATCGACGCGTGAAAAAAGGTACGTATTTACAATGTTTCCGATTGCGTCCTCGAGTGCTGTAATTATCGTAATTGCTGGTATTAAACGGTCACGATAAATGGATGAATGCGGAATACTGATAATGGAGTTACTGTCTCTCCTTTGATAATCCGATCAACAATTCAAACGCGGTCTTTTTGCCAGAATCGGAATTTACAATTATTATATTGGGATATCAATTAACGTTGTACTACTTCATTTCTCTCGACTGACAGGAATTTCTACTATATGTATATAGTATCGTGGGTGTAAGTATTCTACTACAATATAATAGCATTTCGTCCTGGACCTGCTAAGTCTGGACTCTTCAGGAAGGCTATCCAGCAGGACCGTGACCCGTGCCTTAGACGCCAGGATATTTGGAGTTTGGTCAGGAGGGACTTATATAGGAATGATAGAGGGAACTGAGTGCTTGTGAGAAACGCGCGGACTGCGCGGTTTCCCTCTGGAGGTGAGGAGCGGAGGTGCCACCACAGTATGTAAACTACAGTGAAGTTGCTGATAATTAATATTTTTTCTTAATTCCAATTCAAGGCGGAGGAGAATGGTTAAGAACGATCTAAATTGTAAGAAGAAATTAACACTCACAATGGAGCCGGACCATGAAACGAACGGAGTATCAAAATTAGACAAGGTCGTTTGTAAAAGGCTCCGCGTCTGTTTAATTTAATTCTCCAACTAATTGCTAACTCTGATATTAATCGATACCTATTGGTTATTATTGCTAAACTTAACCACTATTGCTAGGAACATGATATTTTGGATGTATGCGGGTGGAAACGCGCGGATCTGGAGAAACTGAAGGAATTGGAGTTGCACAACATCGGCGAGGAAGCGAGAAAGGTACTGAAAGAAGAAGCCACTGTTAGATCTCCGGTAGATACGAAAAACTTGAAGTCACTGCAGAAAGCAGAAAATGAAGAGGATCGATCCAACGTGGCACCAAACGTACCTTCGTCTCCAAACGAAGATATCGCGAGCTTTTTACGAGAAAGATGTTTAAGTCGGAGCTTGATCGCGACTTTGCTGAAGACTGGGCCCACCTCTGAGTTCTTTAGGTGAGAAAGTCTTTCGAGTTATGGTTGGCGTATGTGACCTTATCGCGTTCGATTATTTTTTACGTAGACTGCTGACGGCGATGGGGTTCGCTGACGAGGACGTCGAAACGCTGAAGAAACTGTGGGACGCACGGAAGGACAAGGATGTCGATTCCTCGTGGTCGGTGTCTTCTTCCTCCGACGAGTATCTATCCTCGGATGGGCTTTACTTGAGAAATTTCTTGAGAAAACCTCTGTCGCAAGGTCTTCGTGAAATCGTTGCAAAGAAGCCTATCGACCCCATCGAATACCTCGGTCATTGGTTGTTGAATTACAAAGTTAAGTAGCGATACAAAATTCGACAACCCATTGCCAATGCTCGACACAGCGTTATTCCGCGTTACCAACAAAACGATCTGTTTTATGGATCAAGTATCTCGCTTTACTTTTATACAAACAGTTCTATCGACCCCTGTGTCCACGATTTCTTTACATCCTGTAGATAACATAGATGCATTGAAGACTTCTGATTCGATTATCGGAACTTATCATTTTCTAAAATGTATAATATTATTAGCAAATTGTATTAATCGTGCAATGAAAAAAAAAAAAGAAAAAATATGACGATTTCAGATATGCGAAGAACGGTTCAGGAGACAAAAGGAATTCGAGCTGGAGCTGATGATCGAAAGGGAGAGGGTCAAGCCGCGGGTTCGTATGATTTTTCTATTTTATTATATAAATTGCTTCGCGTACCTATGGTGCAACTACTGCTAACACACATATTACTCTATAAACAGGACTTGGAAGACGAAACATCCGTGTTGACGAAACACGAAGAAGAAGAGGAAGAGGAAGAGGGGTACGTCGACGATCGGAATTTCTTGGATTATGAATGATTGAAATATCTGCACACCGGAGAAGCGGTCGCGTCGAGTATCGCAAGCGTAATTCAACGATTTGTTACATTTCTATAGCGACTTATATTACGCGAAACGTGGCACGTTTTTAATAAATGCTATCGAAAGCGTATCGTAGGCATTTACAAGGCAGACTCTATTAATAAATAACAGAAGGAGTTTAAATACTTTTAGTGGCAGTAGCGTAACGTTGATCGTTCAAGCTACGCCGATACTCGATTTTATGGATAATACTGTGCTTCGTGGCGCTACGAAAAGAAACAAAATTGTTCCACCGCGATGAATTGTACGTTTCCTTCGGAAAGCCGTTTCTTTTCAGTCTAAGAGTATAAAACGTACGAGCGATAAAGGATGAAACATCGAGAATGGGACGGTCTACGTCTAACAATAAGAACTATTTACAGGACGGAATACCGAACGAGTAGGAACGAATCTTTGGAAGACGAACGAAGAAGCTAAGAAAGAAAGCATCCATCTTTTCATCTTCGATAACTCGTGCTAACTTTAACTGAAGCTAACTCGAACACTTCAAAATCAATGCTTTACACCCCTTGTAAGTTGAGTATGTGCAGTTTAGAAAAAAAAAAAAAAAGAAATTGGCATCGTTCATTTCCAAAACTGTTCTACCATCGCTAACTGCTCCAATGGTTGACTCCAAGACTTCTCGTCACACAAGCTTATCTTCCCAGCAGAGTATCACATAAACGAATTGCTTGATCCTCGAGCATTCTCGTTTCTCGCGTATTTTCCGTCTGGTTTCCTTGAATTCGCGCCAGGAGGTCAGCTGTTTGGCGTTCTTAGGTCCCCATTCCGGGGAGGGCCTGAATGCTGACTTGATCATCTGCAAACGCGCAACTATAGTCGTTCGTTCCGCTATCGAGATCGACTTTTCATTTTACCTCGGGCAGCTTCAGGTCTCTGTTGGACATTACGGTGTAAATCAGCCAGAAAGGAATCTGCAGTACGCCGATAGCGCATAAGCTCCATCCGACGGCTGCAATTAGATTTTTTAATCGGACGCTTAATATTCCTACGTGAAATATTATTCGTACGTACCGTGCGCGCTGTCGGGATATGGAATACCGCTGTAAGTCAAGGGTCGCAAAGAGACGAGGGTATACAGCAGAATCACAGCCAGCAGAAGAGGGGTGATGACGGCCCAACAGAGCCTCCAGTACACCGACGGCCTTCGTTTCAACATGAACTCCACGTCGTCCAAGAAATTCTCCAATCCGTACACCCAGAAGATGCCGGTTATCTCCAAAGTGGCCAGGATGAACACGACGAACGAGCCAGCGTAGAAATCCACCAGCTCCAAAATGAATTGTCCACCCTGTAGGTAGAGAAACGGGAATAAATACACGTACTTGGAAATGTTTGTCTTTCGCTTTAGGACTCCGGTAACGTACACGCACGATACTTACGGGTGTACAGTAAACGGTGCCGACGGAAAAGCCAAAGGTGACCGTGCCGAGGACCACGTACAAGTGCTTCCAGTTTGGGAACTGATCGCTGATGATGGTGATAAGCGAGCCCGCCAGAGCGATAGCGCTTCCAATGCCGAGCACGTAAAGCATGAGGAAAAACAGCACCGAGAACAACTGCGAACAGCGGTAAAATCCTTGACGAGCCGTTCCTTCCAACGAGAATTACATCTGGATCACCTCGAGCGCGCAAACGAATGGATAAAATTCGCGTAGGTTTGTTTGTTACGATCCTTCGACTTATCTCGATCACCCTGAACGCCTTGAATTAATTCGCGGACGGTGCGTTAGAGGAAACGAACTCGACTTCTCTACAGTTGGATCATGGTCTACCGTTTTACATTAAGGTCGTATTTATGGCTGGTGGAATAGAGATTTACATATTAAAAGCAATAACGCTGGTCGTAACATGACGTTTATTATTTTTGTCGCTTGTTCGAGTGACTGAACGGGATAATGTAAATCAGGATTGCAAATCTAGATAAAGTGATTTGAGATTCGAGACGTCTACTCTCGCGCGTAGCTTTGAACATAGCGAGCCAACTTTCACGAGTGACTATGACTTTAATATTCTTAATTAAACGATAATTATTCGTGGAAATGACAAGTTTGGACCGTCTGCCTTCGTAATCGGCTTCAACTTTCACAATTAACGTCAACGTTATTAACGCGTTAAGAACTACGCAAAGAGAACAACGTTCGTTAAACCTGGCCAAAGGTCAGCGAAGATTGCCGATCTCTGATCTATGGTTTCTATTTTGTAACGGAACCGACGCGACGTAGCTCCGATCAAGCGAGAAAGTATCTCGAAGCGACGCGACCGGATGAACGTTTATCTACGTGCAAACTATCAGGCCTGATATCGACGACTAATCAATGGGAGGGCTTCGATTCTCACCTGCGGCAGAACGGTGAACTTGGCGATGGCGTCCGGATAGGAGACAAAGGCGAGACCGGTTCCGCCCCGAACGACTTTGCTGACGTCTTCTATGCCGAGCTCGTGAGCCAAATTCCCGAGGATACCGAAAATGGTGAAACCCGCCATGAGGCTGGTGAACGTGTCCAAGGTGGTCACTACTATCACGTCTCTGCAGAGGCAAAATGTTCGTAAGAGTTAACGAACGATACAAATCTGCGCTTGAAATGATATTTTTTTAGGAAGCCGGAACAATTCTTGGCATTGTACGACTCGGTAATGTAACGTGAAACATAAACTATTACGTACGGATTATTTACTAATAATATTTTAGTGACAAAGAAACTACAGTAAAGTCTTGTTAAGCGCGCAAACTCGGGACTGACCTCGTACAGATAACCTGGAGTTGGTATATTCTGTGATGTTTGCCGCCAAGCGTCGTACGTAGACAAGGACAGCGAGTAAAGAAGAGGACGGAACGAAAACATCCAACTATGGCGGTGAAAGGATTTAATGCAACGGTGAAACTTTTTTATTCTTAACTTTTACTAACTTTTCCTCCCTGGGGTTGGTTTCTGTGCTTTTATCCTGGAGAAATTTGCTTTCAGCTAAGCCTTAACAAGACTTTACCGTATCGGGACAACGTACGCGAAGTGCGGTCGTCCCATCGTCGATAGCCAGCAATTACGACGGCAGAGATGGTAACCGATTTATCGACGATATCTCTGACAAAAGTTGAATCTTCAGGTCCCGTAATACTCCAACGAATCCCGATAGCGACTTACGACAACCCCCCCCCGATTGTCAACGCATGACCAAGTTTAGTAACGGTACCGGAGAAACAAGCGTCTCGTTCTAACCGTGTTAACTTCTCTATTCAAGCATTATTTTATATTCAAAGAGTAACCTGTATATATTGTGTCTAAAGTCGTTGTAGGACGAGTACATGACGACACCACCGAAGCACACCGACAGCGAAAAGAAGCACTGTGTGACAGCAGCGTACCAGACGTTCGCATCGAACAGCTTCCCCCAATCCGGCTTGATGAAGAAAACGATCCCGTTAACGGCGCCGTCCAGGCTCGCCGCTCTGATCAGCAAGCTGATCATGATGACGTAAGGGAAGAGCGCGAGGAAATAGGCCGCTTTTCCCGAGCTCTTCACGCCGCGCGCCAGCACCGCGAATATGCAGGCCCACGCGACCAGCAAGCAGACCGTCAGCTTCCAATCCGGCAACCCGATACCATCCTCGATCGTCTGCTTCTCCTTTAGCACTATTTTCCTGATGAGAAAGCGTTTACGTCGCACGTTACGGCCAAAGAACGAGTCTCGCGCTGGTTTCCACGAGACAAGAGTTCGGATTGGGATTCGGAGTTCGAGTTGGGATTATCGGGACGCGAGCAGAGGACTGGCGGGATTAATTGATACGTGATATAGGAATTGATATGTCTGAAAGATGTTGGAGGTTATCGGAAGGAGTGGTACGAGGGGTGATTCGAAACAACTTTTTCCTTAGCGAAAATGTTGTCTAACAGACAACCCTGAGCAATGAGAAAGTGTGGCCTACGCTACCGCGGGCGCTCCAACGACACGCTCGCGCTCTGATTGGTCAGGGTTTTCTGTTAACACTATGACGTCCGGCGACACCACAGTGGTGACCTTCGCAAAGTATTGGCTGACGACAGCCGGCGACAAGCGAAATAACAGAGCCGGCAAAGTGTTAATATCTCCTTAACGAAGCCTCGGACAACATTTTCGCCAAGGAAGACGTTGTTTCGAATCACCCCCCGAACCACCCCTTTCAAGGGCCTCCAACATTTATGGGACACTCTGTAGACGTCTTCTTCGGAATATTCGACATTTCTTGCAAGGCTGCTACAATGGAACGTTCTCTAACGAAATAATCAAATTATTCATGGTAATAGCGATACCTTCAAACAGAAAGAGGATGCTCTAGGTTTTCGTAGCTTTTTCGACAAAGAGGGACCTCGCCTCGCTACTCACCTGAAGTAGAGTTCGGCGGAGCTAATTATCCCGGTTCTGTTCTCGCCGGTTCTGTTCCCATCGGTGTTGTTGCGGGATCCACCTGAATCTACGCACGAGTCTCCCCACTCCTCGAGACAGGTGG